ACTGACAGTGACCTCCTCTGCAGCCCTTTTTTGTCCCACAAATGTCTAGCAAGGCACTTATTTTGCAACCCAGCTTTTAAGTAATTTCTTCAAGTAGTCATTAGTGTCAATAATGGGTATCACTTCTGTGCAAACACAATATTCAGCCTTGTGCAGATTTTGCCCTCTTGTTCATAGTTTAAATATTCACTTTTTTTTTTTTTTCTCTCAGAAAACAGTTTCCTCCAGGACATGTCACTCATCACTGCAAACTAGCATCTGCAAGTAGCTTCCTTCTTGTGGATACAAATGATACATTTCAAACAAAGTGAAGTTCTAGAGACAATAATGTAAATATTGAGGATATCTAGTGTTTTAGAATAACCTATCTTTCTAACTTAAATGTCTTTTTGATCCATTTGGTTTTGCATTCATTTTGCACATATATAATTAGATTATGTGTCTTTTAACACTTGAATTTTTCATGCCCTGACTGTATCACACTGCTTTTTCTTGACCAAAATATGTTTTACATTTTAACCAGTCCCATGAAAGCAATTCAAAAAGAACTTCCAGACTCTTTAGATTCCACGAACTCTTCATGTTCCCTGCCAATACCAGGGTTACACAGAACATGAGCATCAAAACTTACTTGAAATTTTGTTCTTGCTTTTTGAGTTGCAAATATTTTCCTTCTTTAGTATTTATTAAATCGATCGCTCTGTAATTGTTAGAATGTTTCATATCGTCTACTAGATCAATTAAATATAAATTTTACAGGATCAACTGACTTAACAAAACAAAGACACTGTGCTTACTTTGGCATTGAGGTAGGAACCCTGACATAAACAAAGATATTTGGGATAATGGGAACGGAGACAGAACCACAGTACTTCTCAATGTTTTATACCAAGCTGTGAAGGAGGAGTAATTCCTCCAGTAACTTTTCAAAGATAATTGTGTCTGTTTCAGCAGACCATTCCAGACTCTGATAGAAGTAGGTGTAAAAGCCAGTGAGCTCAAAGAATGCTGTATGGACTCTCTGCTCATTGGTTATCTCTTTTTCTTCTGGTCAAGCATATGAAGTAGAAATGTGAACAGTTAATAGTAATGTAGAAAAATTGCAAATTTCAGCACTTCTTTTCAAATTATAAAAACAATGCAGAGAAGCTAGATGTTTTAAAAAGGAGTCTGCATTTTGAAACTTTGAGTGCTTTAGAAATATAGATCCCCTAACTCTGGTAAGTCACAGATTGAACCAATTAATGCATGTGATAACATGACACATACCACCTGGTTTCTAAATTGGCAGTCAAGTATCCTGTGGTCAATGACAAGCTATGTCATATAGCATGCTTTCTCTTACTGCTGTGTCTCTCAGGGCAAATTCTCACAATTTAAATTGTGATCCAGAGACACCTGAAACAATTAGAATATTGAACAAAAGACTGTCACATCTTCTTGGTACAGGGAAGCCCCTCAGTATGAGCAAGTCCTGGCAGCTAATATAACTGGTGACCAGGGACCAACTTCTTGTCAAAGGTAAGGTTCAGACAACATCCAGATACTATGGGGTCTGATACTATGCTAGTCATATCCCACTTGGGCTTCTTAAAATAAATACATCCTATGTCAGCCCTACATCTGACAAAACAGCTACTGAAATCTTAAAAGACATGGTGTGCTTTAGGGTGAGTGTAGGCAAGAAGATGCAAGGTTTTTCTGCCTGTGCTTTGAGAAAGCCAAGCTTTGGGTTGCCTCTGTGTAGGCCTTTGCTTTGCTTGAACTAATTACTGCATCAGGAATGAAATGGCAAACTTTCTAGAAGACAAGGAAGACACGCATTTTAAAAGAAAGGTACTTATGTTGGAAAATGGTTGGACACAGAGCTAGCAGTGTCTCTCTAGGCAACTTTCTGCATGCTGAGAGTAATAAAAGCAGCAAGAGAGTGAGCCAGTCAGAATATGGGTTGGGCAGTTGATTAAGTATGTGTGTTCCACAGCATACACACCACTGAATTTTCTTTGCATTCCACCTTTCCTCCCTGCCAGTGTTCAGCATTGCGGGCATTACTGGAAAGTAATTTCCATTGTGATTTATGTGGACTCTTAAGTTAGGAGAGGCCAGGAACATGAAGGTCTAGCCGTGATCATGCTTATGGGAAATCAGCTGGGAAACTGACAATATACAAGGCCCAGTATTTTTGGAGAGCACAGATGCTTGTATCTACAGCTGATATTTCCCTGTCAGGGAAATCAGGCCAAGTCCTCATCTCCAGCTCTGTTCACAATCTATCCTGTGTCCAGCCTGTATGCAAAAGCATAGAAAAGACAGGAAAATATTTAGTGCCTGAGTCACCAGACTACGAACTACCCCACATTCCTATCTCAAGGCAGGATCAGTTATGCCCATGGCCTATATAAATGCCTATAGATTCTCCAACTGCTCCTTAAGTACCTACCTCCATGAAGAGATAGAGGTTCTGAGCATAGAAGTTCTGAGCTTCCATGGTCAGTCTACTCCTGTGACTCCTGTACCTCACTTCTCCTAATGCTCTGTCTGAATCTTTGTACAGTTTCTTCTACATACTTACATCCTGTTAATGTCCACCTCACACTGCTTTTTAAGGCTGACTAAGCATATTTCTCCACACAGGCCAATTTTTTTTCCAACTGCTGGTAATTCTTATTGCTATCCTTCTCTGAACAAGAGGATTTCTTCCTGTCTTACAGATCTTTATTTTTTCCAGTATAATGTTGTCTTTTTTAATGTGGCGATACCTTGTTGTATTATATCTGGCTCCTGATCTACACCAACCCTTCAGTGTCTTACATGAAGAACGAGTCCTTTCCTAGATATTCTATATTCAGTGTTGTCAATGATGCCTATATATGTATTACCTCACTGTTAATCAATTTTATTTTCTACAATACAGCAAGCTACCTTTGGGGTTTAGATCTGGTTTTCAAGGTATTTGTGAACCTCCTCAGATTTTAGTTTATCAATACCTTCCATATGGGCACTGCTGAGCTATTAAACAGGTGACCAAGGAGAGATTCCCTGATGAACTCCACTCGACATCTTCTTCTGGTTTTCTAATGGACCACCTAGAACAGCTCAGAAGCAGCATTCCAAACAATTTCACACAAACCCACAGAATTTTTATCAAATGCAGGTTTTCTAGCACTTTTATAATAACATTCTGTTAGACAGTCCTAGAAATCTTACCAGTGTCAAAATCTAACAGTATCCTGTTTTCTCCATCGCCACAGGGACACCAAATACCTTATTACAGAAATTAGATAGACATGATTTGATCTTGACAAAACTCCTACCCACCTCTTCATTATATGCTGGAAGTTTACAAACAGTTTTCTATGGCTCCTGAGTTTGTAAGTAGAGGAGTCAGCTCCTTCAAACTTCAGTCTTTCTCAGCTTGTACTGTGGTTAGCTGACAGCCAGATGTACGGTGATACGAGATTTCCAACTGCCCCCTTTGGGGAAGTTTCTGCCTCATAAGTTTGGAGAAGGCAGCAGGTTTGTGTTTTTTACAGAGAAGTAATTCCTCCATCTCTGGAACTCCTGTGAAACTCCTTCCACGTGTAACTGGCTCCTGATGCTGCAGCTGGTACAAGCTGCCATCAAGGCCCATCCAGAACTTGAGCACTGCTTTGGTTTCCTTCCTGGGTAAGCTCTCTGTTATTTTAACAGCATGGTTCTTGAGACAGTTTGTCTCAGAGGCCTGGATTCTCTACCTGACCATCTGTCTGGCACAGCTTTGTAGGAAATTATCTCTGTGGCTCTTGCCTCTGTCAGATTTGGTCAAAATAAGCCAGGAGCTCTTAAATTATCAGGGAAGTGCAGTAGTACAATGATGTTCCCCATGTTTCCATGGAAAACCATGTCAATAATTTCCAGGTAGATCAGGCTGAGTGACAGGATGATATACGAGACAATCCACCAGCTGTTTCTGACATCTTGCCAACCACAGGCATTAACTCCAAGTGAGTAACATTCTTGAATTATAGCTACACTTTCACACAACAGTTATTTCAAGGCTAACCACACTGGCTTATGGGGATCCACAACTGTCTCAAAGAAGGTCTTTTACATGGAACGAGAGGAACTGTGGTAAAAGGGAAGGAGGAGGGGAGGGGCAGGTGCAAAGCTATTATACAGACGTTATTTTCCTCCCTAAGCTGGGAGCACAGCCTTGAGTAACAAATACTGAAGATTCACATTTTGTTCTTCTGGATGTACTCACTCTAACCCAGTTTTCTGGATTTGTGGTCAAACAGACCACTCATTTTTAGCCATTTCTTGCTACTTGTCCCAGGTAGCTACTTGGTACTTGATTCATGGGCTTGCAGCTTTCCAAATATTTGCTCTACTTGCAGAAAATCAGTTTGCTCAGCAAAGCAAACTTTATCTCATTAATGGTCATCTATTTAAATGCAGTCTCCCTCCCCCTCTAAGAGTCAGAACAGCTGCTACCTGTGTGAGGGAGAAGTTATCTTTACAATATTGCAAGGTGTTATAATGGCAGCTGCATTCTTCTCCACAAATATGATGTATGAAAAGGCAAACAATATTTATTCCAAATGCAATTTAATGTTTCAAAGTATTACATGCTTTCCACAAACATTCAGTATACAGACTTCAATGGAGATGGAAAAAAAAAAGCCACAATACCACTCCCTACATACTATTTATTGAGTTTTTAGTGACTGTGAATTGGGCAAGTGTTTGCCATCACCAAGAGCTCAACATCCTTTCTTAAATAACTTAAACATTCAAGGAATGATGGATATCTCACACCAATATACAGAAGCTACATTCTGCTCACCATACTACTGCATCCCACTAATTAAACTAAAATACAAATTGAACCTAAGGACTAGGAATGCACTCACTTCCTGCCAGCAAGGGAAGAAAGCATTCTGGGGCTTTAAAACCTGAGGGTGCGTATACATCACTTCATACTCCAACATAATACAGATACTTGTGTGCATGTTTATTCATCTGTATGATCAGGGTAGCACACAACCCCACTGTGTGCCAGTCACATACTTCTTTGGGTACTAATGTGATCGTGAACTGGAGCCTTAGTTCAAATGGCAATCTGCAAAGCTGTGAATCTGGTCAAAACTGCATGTTTTTACTTTTTAAAAGAAATGTAGCTTTTGTCAGAGCATGTAAGTTAATATTAATTTTATGTGAAGTGCAGTAACTACATCTAAAAGTGGTGGGCTAATGTTACAGTGGTATACTCCCAACCAGTTCTACAGTGGCACTTTAAATATCAGAGAGTGATCTTTGTTCACAGAATCTCCTATAAATAGTACAAAGGCTAGAGGCTAGTTAATAAAAATACAGGAGATAATACTTGGCCTGTACCTGCATTCATTCACCTCTGGAATAACCAAATGCACTACTGCCATTTTTTAAATTATAAAATTACTTCTTTCTGAGCAGACAGACTCTGCAGAGCAGAAGACAGCAGTTGACAGCAGGTTAACTGGAGCCCTCTGAGTCAGAGGTTGCTTTCAAACAAAATATTAAGTAGGAAGGCTTTAGTAATTTTGAATAGTACATTATGTCTGCAGTTACTAATTTCCCAAGCAATAATGAAAATAACTTATTTACCATAACATAATAATTTAGCAAAGAAAAATATCAAAAATCTTATTCAAAGTAGGGCCATATCAGGCATCAGCAACCTTAGCTGGGTTCCAGCCAGCAAGCCTATCTGTATAAGTATCTAATCATATGACTGATTTCAAACCAGAGGAGTGTTTGAAACTGAGCATTTCAAAATCAGGGAGAGAGGAAGGAAAAGGAAAAAGCTGCTGTGTTTCAAAGAGTAACAAGCATTACTGTATGAATTTTTACAAACAAGCTTCATACAAAAATTATATGACTGTGTCCCAAAACCAGGCTTCTCTCAGACAAATCTACTAGCAAGTGGTGTAAATCTGCATTTTTCCACTGGACATATTTTGCTGCTTTCATGATCTGTCAGTTAGTCTGACAGTAGGCTACTTACTCAGTTTGAAGTTATCCAGAAGACAGTCGTATCTCCCACTAACAACATTACATGTAACAGCATACATCTTAGCTCTTGTTTTCTAAGCATAAATTTGAATACAAAAGTTATCCGGAAGGTTTTACTATGCTTGAAAGTTAATTCACCCCAAAGTTCTTGTCAAAATCCACTTTCCTAAAGACAATATAGAGTACATTTTCACATTGATAAAAAGCAAGTACAACACGAGACTTCTTAGCAAAACACAGAGGAAGTGGTATTTCCTGGTCTAATACTCAAAAAGGAAATACCACTTGCTAAGAAAAGTGTATATCCAAAGCCTTAATCCACTTACAGTTCTGATATTAGGTGGAATGTAAGCAGACCCTATTTTTGCCATATTAGCAGCTACTGTTGCTGATATCTGAAAAACATGCCTGGACTTTGCACAATTTTTTAAACAGACTTAGCATAAATTGCTTGCAAGAACCACAGACATTCCTGAAGCTCAACCCCAAAGTATAATCTTAAAAATAAGTGGGTCTAGACATCCCTTATCTTTACAAAACAGGCTGAAAACAAACAGAAAATTTCAATCTATTGTTCTTTTGTAAGAATGCAAGACTCAATATCACATTTCATTGCTCACTGAAATCTAAGTCTTCAGCTTCTTTTTTATGTGGTTATCTATTTTTTTCATAACTAGCAGAGTACTGTTCATGTCACTTTGCAATGCATTGGTGAGAAAGTAACTCTCAAATTACACATACAGCTAGGCACCTATGAGTTTTTATAGTTTAATCACACTGTCAACCCATGCTGACCTGACACCTCACTGAAGGTAATATTAAACTTCTGTTTTAGCTGCGACGCAAAATTCAAGACTAAACATGTCTGCAGAGGTAGAGGGATTTCTATGACATTTCTGTGAGAGGGAAATATGTACCATACAAATGTCCATAGGTCAGTGGAAATACAGAAAAGTTCAAAACCCTTGAACTCCTATACAGTTTTAGGGACTGAATCTTCTGTCAGCTATTCCCGCATTTACACTGCCTAACTGCACTGATCCAGCTACCCACTTGCAAACACTTTGCACTGGTCTCCTGTTGTACTTGGGGAAGCAACCACATACTCCGTGAGCTAATGTGATGCACAGCTAGGCTGAGAGAAGCATGTGCTTCGAGCACACTCTTGTGGTCATGTGCAACCACATCAAAATCAGAGCTAAGAAGGACACAGAAGGACATGTAGGCATCTTGGACTGGCTTCTTTCACAAAGGTGGCCTTAAGCCAGAAGTTACAAAAGAAGTGAATCAAGTACCAGCGGTGACCTACTTTAGAAACATCATTCCTTGACACTGGTATTTGGAAAGAGACTTTATCACAAGAAATGCTACATTGAAAACACAGTGCAAAACAGAGCCAACTAGAGAAGCTAGTGGTTACCTTAGTGTTCGAGAGCCTCCACCTTCTTGCTTCCTCTTTCCTCTCCAGAGGGAGGAAATCACGCTTGCCTCCTCTTTCTATGACACCTGAAGTGCTGCATATCTTAGAAATAAGATAAAACACAACCCTATTCATTTATCATTATTTAAATATTGTCAGTGCTGGAATGTAAGTTGAAACTCCATCCCCATTCCATGACCAGCTTAGCTTCATGTGATCTTCAGAGGTGATTTCTTGTGTGTGCAGAGAAGGGTGATGTAGGGAACCCCAATGAGTGCCCATCTTTCACTGGGCCAGAACTTTATGACAGGGCCCTGCTCAGGGATCTCAGAGGCAGCATCGAAGTAAGCAAAGCGGACACAGCCCAGGTATGCCACAAGACAAATCGAAATGTGCCTGAGAATAGACACCCACAACCGTCCCCCTCCCCTCCCAAAAAAAGGAAAGGAAAAATTAGTAACATGACTTCAGTAAAGCAATCAAATATATCACCTATCACCATGCTTTAAAATCAGTCTGTCCTTCACCTTTTTCCTTTGAGTGCCCCATAGGGTTGCTGTCTGTCTTTTGCATGCAGACAAAGAATAAGGAAAATGGCAAAACCATAGCTTATCCTTGGTCTAAACTGGCAGCAGTTTTCTGGCCTCTCTGCACCTGACAAATTTGTGCAGAAATGCTGAAATATGGCACCTTGAATAAGAAACCATAATTTTCTGAATTTTCTGGGTGGTAAAGGAGAAAAGTCATCACAGTCCTTCACTGCTGCCCCACTGCACCCTCAGTTACTACAAGTGAAGTTTAAGATTTCACAGTCACTGCTTCAGTTGAACAGCGCTGTGGGATTTTTAGTAAGCAGTAGGGCAAGGAATTCAGTTATAATTGATGAACTTTGTGTCTGAAGAATGTCATCAGGCCAAAGAAACTCCTAAAGCTGCTCCCTTGGATAGTGTGAGACTTGCTCTGGGCTTATAATCTTACCAGTAATTCTACTTAGCACTAACCAGAAATAGCCACCAGGCAGCACAGAAGAGCAACGTGGTGAGGATGTATTGTATTTGAATCAAACTGTGGTGTTTACGGACAACACTTACCATACATAGTGCAAATAGGGGAAGTTAAATGAGGACCAGATCTCACAAAATGCTTTGTCACTGATCCAACAGAAAAGTGCTAGCATCCACCAAAGACCTGAAAAGAGACCCAGTTTGTACACACGCAGCTTTTCATACCTGAGGAGAAAAACACAAAGAAATTGTTATAAAACAGAATAAAAATTGCTTAGTAATGGCAGCTTGATGCTTTTTGGCTTTAGGTATTTTAGGGTAGGATTCACAGTGCTCTGAGAGCCAACTTCTAACTCCCCAAAACACGGCCTGAGGAAAACAGCCTGAGAAAAACAGTGGCTGGGACTGAGAAAAACAGCCTGAGAAACACATAAGGAATAGGGGTGAGCAGAAGCCCTCCAAGCCAAGGAATGCCCCAAACATTCGCAAGTAACAAAACTAACTATACTCACAGGGTGAATAATGTGAAGGCTAGAGCTGATAACACTGCCTGGATAGCACAGGACACAGTTGGGATAGGGGGCCCAGTGGAGACAATATGGCTCTGCTCTAGTGCATCCTGTAAAGTTTCAAGGGCCATCTGTTCAGTGAATGACCTTTGCTTCATTGTCCACAAAATGCATATTAAAGTTGACACCCTTGTATATGCTACATCATCCCATGAAGCACCTTATCCCTCCCCATATGTGTTAATATGTAGGTATGTGGGCCAACCTGGGGAATGGACCCAAAGGGAGTGTGTATAAATTAAGGGGGGGCCGAGGCAGGCAGGGGAAAAAAGAAAGCACGTGAGCGAGCAAGCAAGCAAGCAGGCAAGCAACAGAAAGAAATAAATTAATAAGATGAAGGAATTCCTCATGAACTCAAACAGGACCAGCACAGGACCCCGGACTGGTGATCTCTACTTCTGTACTCTTTTTCTCTATCTCTTTTCTTCTCTCTTCCCCCTTTTTCCTTCTTACCATTAAGTAATGCAAGGCATACTACATTGCTTGCCATGATTTGTTATATATTTCGCCAATTATCATGAATCCAATTAGTACACTGTGGAAAATTAATAAATGTTTGTGCAAGGACTTTGAGACTTGTCTCACCGTTGTCCACTCTGCCAGGGATTTATGAATCTAAGTCACTTGTCTCCCTCATCTGAGCAGGATGTGACAAGTGCCAGGCACACATCTTTAGAATGGCTTCACCCTAAATGTCAGAGGAACAGAGCAACTTTACTTACAGTAAATATGGCTCTAATGCAAGGCAGTGGTGGGGTGACAAAACAAACCTTTTAACAGTACCTGTGTTTTAGGTACTGTCTTAAATACCAATATGCAAATGGTGGGCAAACATCAAAGCATTTCCCTATCTAGGTTGGGGTATCTAGGACAACTAGTGATTAGTTACTGGCTGGTAACAACCAGCCACACAGCAAGTGCTCAGATTTGTTCGTATTTGTCAGTATATAAAGACTGGTAAAAAAAAAAAAGGAACTGGATGAGGTTTTTTTTTAGTTGGATAGTTGATTTTTCCCCCTACAAGTTAGTATTATACAATGTATACAGAACTTCTAAGGTAAGAACCTTTACCCAGAGGGCCCAAAGAAGCATGCTTTAGTAGATGGCAAAAGCATCCACACCTCAGAATTCCTCTGACTAAGCTGCAGTTCTCTCCCTCCACAAGAAACCCAAGTTTTTCATATAGAGGTACACCAGAGAGAAAGAGAGCATAAAACAATTGCTCACATCTTGGTTGTCACATCTTGGAACTATCCTAACAACTGCGCAGCTTAGCTTAAAACAGTAAAATCGGGAAAAAGAAGGCATCAATATAATCTTCAGGTCCCAAACCACTATGAAGTAAATAATTTGCTGTCTACCTACACTTGCTATTTTGGGCTTAGGCTTCTTGGTGCCAGTAAATGCAGCTCTGCTGTTACTGATATCTATAAATCAAAGCTAGACTGGGATATGACCAGCCTTACATGGCCAAGGGAAGGCATGGCTCAGCTCCCCTGCCTTCAGCAAGACCAAAGCTATGATTTGGGATTTTCCCCCATGTATTTTTTTTTGTTCTTGTTGTTATTCTTGATTAATTTCCCAGGGATCTGAGAACCATTCAGTACTCTTGGACAATTCTTGCTTCAATGAACTGCTCTTCTCAGGTCAGTGATATGACCTCCCAAAGCACTCCCAAACCTACTAATCAGATGACAGAATAAATTGTTTAAAGTGACTTGTTTGAGCTACATCTCAAGAGTAAACCAATAAGCCAAACCTCTAGCCAGTGTTACAAGCAATATTCAGCCTTCATCAGGGTTACAGGCCCCTGTTTTCTCCTTCTACTTAGTAGAAAGAAAACAAGTCAATGCTAAGCTCCCCACAATCTCTTCCTCTGTCCCAGGGTCTTCAAGAGGGGCTCCTTGTAATCCACACTCATCTTCTATGCCTTCCACCTTTGCCAAAGAGTTATTGGGAATGCCTCCATGCCTATTCCTCTCCAGCAGATCACCAGCTAGCTTCTCTGCTCCAATCCAGTCACCCCAGTAGACTTGACACTGAATCACCAGTCATCTTCTACACAATTCTTGGGCTCATTCACTGCATCTGGAAGGTGAGCAATGACTGGCAAACAGGTCCTTTAAAGGGACACTTCACCTTGTGACACTTAGAAACAATGTGTATTCCTGGAGGATGGAGCTAGAATAGCCAAACATGTCTTTACTGTCTGCACTACTGTGGTATTTATGGTCCCTGATCTTCTTTATACATGATTGTCCTCAACAACTAACACAGTGCAGCACAGACCAAAAAGCTCTTTGGTTCTTCTGTCTTCTGCACAAAATACTTGTCAGCCTGAAACCTGTTGTTCTCATTTGATACATTTACAGAGCTCTAATTTTTCCAACATTTACCATTAATTGTCTCCAAGGCCACACACAGACTACAAACCACAGGCTACCCTGCATTCACTGTCAGGGAAGTAGTAATGTCAGCTCTGCCCCACAACTAAAATCTGTCACTATACCCTCCCACACATGTGAAATGATCTCCAACTGCTCAGTTGGAGGAGGACAGGGGCAAAGAATGACTCCTCCCTCTCTGTGGTGAAAAAGCAGATCTGTCACTGGTTCAGGAGCTTTGCTAAGGGAGCCTAGCTAAGCATCCAGAAAAAATTCAAACATACACAGAGTTCTCTGTCCAGGAACACTTTTCTGAACGAAATGCAGGAGCAGCAGTATACCTGCCTCTGGTGTATTGCAAGCTAAAGAATTAGTACAGTTTCCCTGTAGGATATTTTTTTCTCTCTTGAAATGCTATTTCAGTTGATATTTTAACAGACATTTGGGATTAAGAAACTCCTAAGGCTGAGCAGAAGGCACCTTTATAGCTACTGGATTAATGACAGAAAAGCTACCAACTACCTAATCTTGTTGACAAAAGATTTTCTCCAGTGTCCTTTACGCAAATTGGTTTTAGGATCTGGCATTTCTTTTTTAAGCCATCTATAAATAAAGTTGCATTCAAAATCACCACACCTATCTTTATTATTCAAAATAGTGCTTCAACTACTAGCTAAACTGTAATCTTCTCCACAAGGAAGGTATCACAATAGTTGCCTTCATAACAAGAACACCTATGTGACTGCCACAAAAATTAATACTCCACTTAGCATATAAACCAAAATGGCTTTTTTCTTAGGCCTGAATCCTCCAATCCATTTGGCAAACCACCAAGACAGTCTCAGGAGGCAGGGCTTGCCCAAGATGGCATCAATACTGTCTGTGCTCTATACTGTAAAAAAGGCTTGTTTCTTGGAGATAGCGTCTTTACATTTTAAAAGGCTACAATAAGCACAAAGAAAAGAAAGGCTGAGGAGATTTTTGAGTTGCCTATCAAGTTCCAGAGCACAGCTATACGAATTCTTCCTTACACTCTTTTATGAGACACCCCTGTAAGAAATATAACCAAGATACTGCGCAGTTTTATCAGTAAAACTATACTGGTAAATCCTCCTCATTTTGGAGGATTCATGCTTATACCAAATGGCTAGACAGTATGCACCGCTTCATAAAAGAAGAGGGAAAATTGTTATTCATCAAAAAACACTGCTGTATTAAGTACATCAGGCTTAATTCCCTTCCATTAATGGTAAAGCAGATTTACAGTCTTCAGTGAGACACACAACTGTCCGTAAGAGCAAGATGCTAAACCACGTACCTAAGTGGATGCATGCATGGATCAATTTTGTACATTTGACAGATAAAACTAGACTGCTGCGATGAGTACTTGTGCATTCTGACAGAGGAATGGGTGTGCATACTGAAAACACAGAGGCCCTCCTGGATTTGTCTGAAGGACAGAAACAACATGAAACTGGATCCAATTTAAGATAAGAGGCTTGGCCTCAAACATCCAGCACCTTCAGTCAGTGTCCATGCCTGTCAATATCTGACTAATTTGAATACCAAGAGGAGAGGACAATTAATCTGCATGACTCAGTGAGTTCAAGGCTGCAAAGTAAAGCTGAAAGCTTACTTGAAGAACTTTCCCAATGCAAGATCAGTCACAGAAATAGTACAGATTGTAATGACAGGTTTGCTCAGTACCACCATCAGGTACTGTGATTTATTTTTATAAACTTAAGACTAGATGCTGCACAGTGTACTGCAAAAGACTACTCTAAGGCAGAAAGAGTCAAGCACAAGTAGGAGAGCACTGCCTGCTGATCTGTGCAATAGTCCTGACTTTTTTATGATCATCCATCATAGAGTCTTCTGTTCCTGCAGTGAAATACACTCTGCTTAGCAGGATATCTAATGGAAAAAGACTCATGAACACCTTTACAAAACATTTTTAGCAGAGGCTTCCACTGCATGGAGAAGCAGTAGCAAACTAGGGTAAGGCAGCAAACAGGTGAATCTCTGTTCTAACAGGGGCAGTCAGAATGCAGACATTTGGTTCTACTCTTGTTTTTGTTGATGGATATTTACATATGCAATATGTAAGACCCAACATAAGTTGTAAAATCCTCATCAGACAGCAGACAAGAAAGAGGAAGGGACAAGTTCATATGCTGGTATTTGGTCCTTTTTGCAGTAGGTGAAGAGATGTAAAAAAAATAAGTCTCCAGACAGCTGCTGGTATTGCTTATCATGGTAGGACTCTTTAAAAATGTTAAGATCAGTCTCAAGTTCTTCTTTATTTGCATTCTGGTTTTATAGTTTCTGAGGCCCTGATTGATAGCTATCCTGTACAACCTAGTGATTAACCTTATCTTTGTCAGTCTGACTCCATCATATTATCAATGTTTAAACACAAAGTGGTGTAAGATTCACAGTACAACTTTGAGAGCTAGAACATCTTCCATGCATGCCTGGGCCTTGCTCCACATTCCCTCTAGTTCCCTCTAGTACCCAGACCATGATCACGCGATCACCTCACCCTTATGCAAACTATACAGCAGAAGTGCAGTCAGTACACTGAAACCCTTGCCCCTATTCCACAATAGATAAACAAATCTGAGTTGGATCAGGCTGCAGCAAGAGATATGTTTCCAGAAGACAAACAGCATCTGACCTAGTATAATGGCCTAGAAAAAAAAAAAAAAAATCCTTGCCAAAAACATCCGAACTGGTAGATCAAGGTTATACCAGAGCTGTGCATGCATGTGGGAGAAGCATTTCTCATCTGCTGTCACAAGCACTGAAGCCACATCTAGTGTATCATCACACAATGGCCTAAGGATCTCAGAAAGCAATGCTGCATTCAGGAGAAACATACTCATCTCTTCAACTCAGCAATGAGCAAAGCTGTGCAGGGAACACCCAGAGTCATTAGCGAGATGTTGTTGATGGCAGGCTTAATGAAGGCGAGACAGGTAGTAACTCCAGACAGGACACCACCAGCAGCTTTAAAACAGCTCCTGAATAGGGTTTTGGGGAGGAGAACTGCTTTTAATTCTAAACTTTTAATTACTGAAACCAGAAATCTTAAAATTATTTTAATAATGTAACAAAATTTATGTTTCCCTAGGTGAGTGCAGAAGGTACAATGTCAATGTGCCTAAACTGGATGTGGATCTTGCACAGATTTGCATGTGCATGCAAATAATCATATACAAAAACCACTGTTGGACTGTGGCCATCTGAAGCAGCCATGTGTGTGTATGTATACATACACATGCACACACACACTATCCACTGGCTTCAAAATCCAAAGGCAACACTCCAATCTTCCTCCTCCCACAATAAGTCAGGAGCAAGCCCAACTGCACACAGCACTCTACTTCCTCAAAGCAGTATTGTGTCATCATTCTTCATGCTTTTAACATGGATTTTTAGGATATTTTGTTACTGTTAATGCCCTAACTTCGAGTCATTTTACCGGCTGGTTTATTTTCCTTTGCCTCTTTTAAGCCTTAAAGATATTAAAAACTATGAGGTATGCAAGAACATTTCTTTTAACCCAATTCAACAGTAGGTGAGAGATTCCCACACTTCTTGAAGATTACAGTTTGGTATATTCTGAGGATAAATGAAATCACAGTTGGGCCCTATATAGGGCCCTATATAGGGCCTGACAACTTTTAAACTAAAATTATGTCAAAAATATGTTTAATCTTCAGGTTTGGACTTTAAACAACCCATTTCCAGTCTGCAGCAGGACTATGGCAGACAGAGGATCATCATACTGCCCTTCAACTACTGGTCCATAGCTTTTTAAAACTAGTTGCTGTCCAAGGATGGCTTTAATGTCCGTAATTCCATGTCTGAAGTAGGGTCTCAGTATACTTGTGCAGCACTATTCCCTAGCCACAAGTGTCATCACCTTCACCTGGCTCATTCCAGCTGTTTTTTGCTTTAAAGTTTTTCTTTCTGCTGGAAAGCAACAAGTTACTTAAGTAGGAAGTTCTGATCAGATGTGAATGCCTTAATGACTAAAGACACCACAAATTGGTCATGGTAGATATTAACATTTGCAGCACTGAAGATCCAAAGTGTGATGCAGATGAAGAAAATGAAGCCCACAGCAGTGAACATACGATAGATATAATCTTAGAGCATTATCTAGGCAAAGCAAAAAAAAAAAATATATATATATATAAACCAAATGTGCTTTGTGTTAGGGCTTGTTGCCCACTATGTCTTTCTTCTGTAGACTTCAGAAAGGAATCCATACCTTAGCATGTAACTGCCTGTTTTGCCAATTGATGGGGCTAACACAAAGGACACACACACCAAGCTATAGAAATGGGCTTATTTTACTTTAGTTTAAGGCAGCAGAAAGAACAAGCAAGGTAATGCACCTAGTCATTACTACATAAAGCTAGCTATAGTGATTAAGAAAGATACATCACCAGTTGCCCTCATACTTTACCATCATCCAGACCCGTGCATCAGCTGGGGAGCCCCGTCACAGCGAAGGGTCAGAGAGCCTTTCCCGGCAATTGGGAAGTCCCACGCAGGGCGTCCACTCATAGGTGGGGTCTCCGTCTGTGCTGTGAGAGGGTCTGGCTTTTATACAGTTTAACAAACAAATCTATACAAAATGCACGGGAGATAGCTGGTAGATTGACATGCCTCACTCTGGCTTGTCTGGATCTGGCCAGGATCTGGGCACGTCTGAGGAGTTTCTGTTTTTCTTTACATTTGGGATTTATAGTTACTTCCTGTTGTTTACTTAATAGCTTTCAGGGATTGTTCCCAGGGTTGCATTTTCATGCTGATAAGATGCTGGTTGCTGGTTGGGGAATTCACTCAGAAGTCAACTTTGGTTTGAGGCCTATTGTTTGGGCCTTTTTTGTTTCACTGCCTTGACAGATTCTCAGGAAGAAGGGTTCTGAGAAATTTAGGATACAGGATATGCTTCAACTCATCTCAGTATTTTTAGAAGTCAGTTATAACCTGGGAGACTATTATTTCTAGTTTTAACACTGCTGTGGTTTGAACTTGGTCGGCAGCCCAACACCACACAGCCACTCACTCCTCCCTTCTCTTCCTGCAATGAGAAGGGACAAATAAGCCAGGCTTGGGATTCGAGATAGGACCAGGAGGGGCAGATCACACATTATGGTCATGGGCAAAAGGCAGACTTGTTAGGGGAATTAAAAAAGAACATAGATTTATTACAGACACTAACAACAACACTTAACAGAATAGGACAGTGAGAAGCATTGCCACATCTTGAGAACACTTTCCCCCCACCCCTCCCTTCTTCCCAGGCTCAGCTCTGCTCCCGATATCTCTACCTTCCCCCCGCAGCAATGTAGGGGGCAGGGAATGGGGGGGTGCAGTCAGTGCTGCCACTTCTTCCATCTTTGGTGGAGGGACCTTCTGGAACTTCTCCCCCTGCTCGATCGTGGTCCCCCTCTCACATGAGACAGTCCTCCACAAACTTTCTCCAACGTGAGTCCCTCCCACGGACCACACTGTTTCCTTACATTGCTCTGGTGTGGGACACCAACTTTCTCCAACTGGAGTCCCTCCCACGGCTGCAGCCCTTCCCGAGCTGCTCGGGCATGGGACACCCCCACATGCTGCAATCCTCCCAGTGTTGAACTACAAAAGCGGGTCTACCTTTTCCAACAAACCCCCGGCCTTCGTCAGGTACAGACACCTTGATCAACCATGCAAAACACAGGCCATAAATCAGTGTCTGCTCCACCGTAGATCTTCACAGGTGGCAGGGAGGGGCCGCCTTGCCGTCTCACCACAGGATACAGGGGGGTCTCTGCTCAAGCACACCTCCCTCCTCCTTTCTTCCTCCGCTCCTCCACTGACCAGTGTTCACAGAGCAGCCGCAACTCCTCCTCACAAATCCGACTCCTCCTCACCAGGTTACTTCTTAAATATGTTATTGCAGAGACGCAGCTGATCAGCTCAGTTTTGGTGTAGAGAAGGGTCTGACTTGGAGCTGGAGGAGCTTTGAGAAGCTTCTCACAGGGGACCACCCCTATAGCCCCCTCCCTGCTACCAAAAAACCCCACCACTCACTCAAACCCAGGACAATCACCAAGTTTCAAAAGAAACAGGATTTCTCCCAAAAAAGTGTTACTCTTCCTTCTAAAAAGAATACACTTTAACCTCGTGGCCCATAGTATGAACCTACACAGTACACTATCAGAAGACAGTAATAGATGACATACAGCAATCCCCTTAGGCTTCTGAGAAATAATTCATATGTAGTCACAGAAATTCTTCAAGACTGAACAATTCCTCACTTGAACTAAATGTCTAGAAGTCATGTAATTGACCAAAACACCCCAGTAAAACCTGTTTGCCTGTTAAGCTGATGGTGTCCTGCAACAGCACTGTATTGCAATATGCAGAAGTACTAAATGCACACCAACATGACAATGCCATTAGACTACATAGACTGTAAACAGTAGTTCAAGATACACTTTTCTCAGTGCAAGCTATTTTGAGGAATGGTCAATCTAGGTACCAACCTTCTCTGCGCACACACTCCCCCCCAACTTCTAATTAGGCATATGTCAAGAAAAAAAAAAAAGAACACAAAAAAACTCCCAGACATCAACAGCATAAGGCAGCAGCCTCAGCAATTTTCAAAGAGCATTGGTGCTGCAATTCAAATCTTTTCATTACCTCAACTTCTTTACTGCATAAAAGAGCAATATATACAAAGATTATAGCACATTTTTTTTAGGGGGTGACAAACCACAACCAGATTCTTTAAACTGGCTACAACACACTTTCTTTAATCCTGCAAGAAAAAGAAAAAAAGTCCTTTTACAACAACAGGCTTCTAAACAAACACCTAGCCTTTGAATACTTAAACACGATCCTTAACAAGTGCCTTAAATATTCAGATGAAAATTCAGCTGACTTCCATAGGTTCACCTGTATGTACACTTTAGGATATACAAAAGGAAGGGGGAAAGATGGTTTCTTTTACTTTACTTTAGCCCCAATTTACATAAACTACTCATGCAAAGGTCTCCCTAGAATCAACAAAAACAGGCACTTCCAGAAGCATATCACCTCATCGCAAGATCTGAAGTTACAGGGAGTAAACCCCACCATCAGCAACTGCAGACTCAGGAATTTTGAGCAAAATGGGCTGATACAAGCAACAGGAAGAGAACAGAGTAAGAAAAGATAGCAGCGACATTGGTAAGGTTGGATGACAATTCAGTGTCATTACATGCAGGTTTACATGTTAGCACAAGAAATTTCAAGAAACATGAAAATGTACATGTATGATTGTATGATTACCTGTCATTTCAAAAAACTCTGGGCAGGTGTCTCCTAGGGAACCACATGGCAAGGGCACACATCAGGACCCAGAGAATAGCCAGCTCATCCAGCATCTGGCCCAAGAAACTAAGGGTGGCATGAAAGTAAACAGATCCGATTCCTGGAAGAATCAATTAAAAGACAATATGAACAGTTAGAGTACTGTATAGACTGAAACACACTGCTCAGTTTCAGAACTTCATAGCATTTGGTCTAGAAAAGGTTTAAAAAAAGAAGAAAAACCATAAAACAAACTGCCAACTTTCCTAAGAAGGCAGTCCAAATCATCAGCACCTCATTGATTATGAAGCAAACTCATTACTAAAGCAGCAGCTAAAGATGGCAACTCTTGCTAAAGAAGTAGATGTATGTGAAAAAACATCAGGTGGTAAAGTTAAATGCAAAACCAATTAAGAAACAAAAGCCAAATGCTGCTTCTGATTTTTCTCAATAGCACAAGAATGGGTAAGACAAAGATGAAAAGCAGTATCTGATTACTATTCCATGATACAGGTTTACAGGTGGGAAGTGTCACACTGCCGCACAGGGCTCTGATTATCCCTTTAAAAGTTCCCAGTGCCACCAGGAATGAAAAAAGCTTAAGAATATCATATCTACAAAATAGCTAAGTCTTTGGGCCTTCTCAGTACAATGCAAAACCTATTATCCCCTTCAGTTGAGCTGGGAACTTTCAGCTCTCATTTAAGCAAAAACAGAGGAAGGAGAGTCAGCAGTGCTGTATAGTAAGCCCAGACACAAACAAAGTTATGCAAAGGAAGGAAAAGAAGGGAACAGAACCAAGACCAAAGTTCCCACTGACCTTTGCAGAATGCATTTTCCTTTCAGAAACTATGGTTGCTTCAAGCAGGTACAAGCAAAATCCTCTGCAGAGGTCAGGATTGCTTTGTTTTGCAAAACAATCAAGCACAAGCAGGAAAAACTGATTTCCTCTCTCAGTTCATGCATGAGCAGGCAGAGACTAACCAACTTACCAACCACAACTAGCAGAGTCCATATTAAATATATGCCACTGTTGAAGCAGGTTGCATATTGAAGGAACAAGTACATACATATGGGTGGTGAAACAAAAAACAAGATGTTGCTTATCTAGGGGGCGGAAAAAACCAACAGTATCACAAGGACAGAAAATAAACAAACCTTAAATATTCACAGGCTGCCTAAGACATCTATAAAAACATTGTGTCATCCAGTGAAGCCCCACCTCAACAAATTATGGTCCTCAATTTCTGTCAAAGCTGAGCTGTTTTTGCAAAGCATCAACTTGCTTTGTTTAACATCATTAAACTAATAGCAGCATAAAAACTTCAAGCAATGTAAAATGTGGCTAGTGACATCTTTAAATTACCTTTCAAGTCTCTTCCCAGATGAATTTTATTGAGTGTCTGTAAGTACTCAAGACTGTTGCAATTCAGGAAGACTACAGTAGCAAGCAGCTGAGGAACAGGATGTCCTGGCAAGTGACTTGTCCTCTCAATGGCTGTCAAGCCTAGCATGGAAAAAGCACTAGAAATACTGGCATTACACAGGGCTAGTCAAGCTTTGTGAAAGTCAAGTCACTGAGCAATAGCTATTGTCTGTGTCTTGGTTTCAGCTGGGTCGGAGTTAATTTTTCTTCTTAGCTAGAATAGTGCTGTGTTTTGGATTCAGTATGGGATTTGGTATGAGAAGAATGCTGATAATACGCTGATGTCTTGAGTTGTTGCTAAGGGATCAAGGACTTTCCAGCTCCTCATATCCTGCCCATGTGCAGGTGTACAAGAGGCTGGGCGGGAGCACTGCCAGAGCAATGGACCCAACCTGGCCAATGAAATATTCCGTATCATGCAACGTCATGCTCAGTATATAGAAGACAATTGGCTGGGACAGAAGGGTTTCTCTCTCTCTCTTCTGGGATTGTGTGTTTGGGATCTTAGCTTCTCTGGGATCGCTAGCCAGGAACAGGCTGGATATCGGTCGGTGGGCGGTGAGCAATCACATTGTGCATTAGCCATTTGTACTTTCTGTTACTGTTATTACCATTTTATTTTATTTGAATTATTGAACTGTTTTTATCTCAACCTATGAGCCTCCCTTTACCCCTCCAATTCTCTCCCCCATGCCCAAGGCAAGAGGATGGTTAGCGAACAGCTCTGGGGTGTTCGGCTGATGGCTGGGTTTAAAACACGATAGACCTTTTTGGCATCCAGTGTGGGGCATGAAGGGTTGAGATAACGACAGATCTGGCCAGAGCATATTACAGTGAATTTGTTATAATCATTCATTATTTGGTTTAATAGTTGCTTTTCATAATGTTGGTTTATCGGCTGTTAAGAGCTGTGCTACTTGTTCTTAGTTCTGCTATGCATCACCTCACTTGCTGTATATAGTCCCAACACTGCTGCTTATCACCCATGGGAGATGGATTAGGATTTTTGCTTTGCTGTACTATGTAACACTTGTTTATGGCACAATAGTTATCAGTCCTGAGACTAGTCTGGTAACCATACCCAGCACTGTTGTCATCTCTGTACTTTGGGCGGCATCCAGTGGAAAGGGTTAACAATTACACCCTCTGCCTTTTCTCCTTGGGAGAGCCAATTCCCAGGGGAGACATCTTCCTTCACCCTCCTCTTCTCCTCCACACTACTTATGGCAGCTTTTGAGAATTTTGAAATTTTTTAATATCCTTGGAATGTTGACACTAACATGGCCATCTTATTGCTAGGAGCCAGCATGTTTCTCCCCATGGTTCAGGTTTTGCTCAGGGTTAAGCAACTATTTAAGAGTAACACCTGCAGATCTACCCAAAGGCTGGAGAGTTAGGAGTGGCAGGGGATGTGGGATAGTATGGGCAAGTACCTAGAGCAGTGGGCATCCTTAATGTTTTGGAACTTTACCTGTGAACAAGTGCAGAATACCGAAAAAAATAGTAAAATATTTGGAAAAAGTATGCTGCCACCCTGGCAATTCCAAAGACACCACACACTTAGATACACTGCAACTATTAACACCGCTCTTTCCAAGCAAGGGACGCACCTATCCATTTGTCTATGGTTTCAGAAAGTATGTTGCATGTGCAATTTTTTACATAATACACAATTGGCCTACACAGTTTGCTAATGTACAATTCAAATGCTGATACAGTTAAGATTAGTGCAAAAATTAGTAATAGGAGTACCGAGAATTCACTTGGGGATCTGCAAAAGGAAAAGATTAAAAGTTATGGCCCTGGAAAAACAGTACGCAGCCCATCAATAACAGTCCATCCTCTGGCTTCATACAATTCTGGACCTTTAGTTTTCATTTCCAGATACTTAATTGTATGAAAGGAATATAGGATGTGGGCCACAGAGGGAATGCCAGATGCTTGTTTGGATCATGACCAGATAACTTCACTCACATCTGGCCACACTCCTGACACAGGACGTTTCCTTCAATCCTACCAAAGCTCAAGTATTCTTTACTGATACATCTCGCAGACAGCAGCTGCAGCATTGAACCACCACAGCAACACCTGCTGCACTACTTCTTTGTGAGCAGAAAGCAAAAATGGACAAAGTAGCTCTCTGAGTTCAGAGGGCTTATATCTTCTATATCCTGATCCATGAGCATGCCACTCACATACACTAAAAGACTTTTGTAGTAAAACAGATTATGTAGAGAGAGCACAGCACTCTTTCACACCCTTAAAGCTGATAGCTTCTTAAAACTTTTATCTCCATGCCAATAGGGAACAAAAGAAGAGGAATAAAAACACTGGCAATTCCCTCTTTAAACGGAAATTTAGCAAGAAATATGTATTGCATGTACAACTAACTGAAGTACTGACTTTACTAGCAACAGTAAAAAAAAAAAGTTTTCACGTGTTTAAAAAACAAGCAACAGCTTTTTTTGTAAATACCTCTGCACAGGGTAAATTCTTTTGATCATGTGGAGGCATCTGTTTATGTTCTGAAGTAGCTACACTGAATCATACTTTATTCATTTCAGGTGGGGGGAAAAAAAAAAAAAAAAAAAGCTAGTTTACCTATAACTATTCTTTCAATTTGAGTTACAAAGTGTTTTGTGGACTCTTTATTGAAAGAGTCTAAGACTTAAACACAAAATCACACCAGTCTAGCTCATGTAGGTTTTAAAAAATTAGTCTGATCTATTTGTACAAAATCTCTGAACAGATATTCTCCTACTGATTTAATACTGCTGAGGGCTTTGATTTGCTTTTTAACTAAATCAAGTTAAATTTATGCCTAACAGACAAAGATTGAGTCCCACCAGAATAAATAATATTTTTTTAAAATACATTTCATATAAGCTATTCCAGTTTTGTGCTTACATGAATATTGTGTGAGACCTCAACTACAACTCTGACCTCTGCCACGACAGTTTAAAATGCAGATTAGCAAAATTTTAATCTAGAGTTTAAAGACCCAGATGCCAGATTCAGGTCTGCTGAAGAGTTCTTCCTGAACCTTCAAGGGGGTTTGAGTCAGAGCCAGAACTGAGGCATCTCAGAAGGAATGAAATTTAGACTCCATTTAAGGTGCCTGTTAGAGCAGGGCCAAAATTTCCCAACTGTCCTGTGAACATCTGGCTTTTTGGGGACACAGTTGCACAACCCCACCAACACACTGTGAGTCACTGTCTTAGTTTTCAGAAATTGCTAACACAGAAGACAAACCCTTACAAGTACTTGTTACTACCAAAGAGAGGTTAAACACAACTACCCTCAAAACAGCCTCTTTTTTCCTCCCCTTTTGGTATACATCTCGATGATTTGTACACAACTGCCACAATAGAGAGGACTCTGGCGCAAACTTTTTACTCTGTCTCTCTGTTAACCTGTCTGGAACTTCAGTTATTCACCCAGACATACCTGCAGCTCCTAGCACTTTGGAAGCTTCTGTACCACTGCTATTGTGTTCACTACAGTTGGAGGGATACCCATCCCCTTACACAGCAGGCTCCAAAAACACACTTGCTGTCTTCAAAAAACTTGTTTATCCTGACCTTTTCCTCCCTTTGTTTTTGGTTCTTGCACAGTGACATCAGACACAAAGAAAGCAGACAGTTTCCCCCACACACCCTCAAAGTCCTTCAATGACACAGACCAGCTGCCACCCGATGATTTTGGCAGCAAACTACAAGAAAAAACAACAGGTTATCAATGTGCACCCTGTACCATGGAATTACTTGGTCCGTAAGTGCAGCATCCTCCATGATACACTCCTGTGAGTGAAGCAAGATACCTACTTCTTTCTTCCACTAAATCCTAGCAAACACAGCCTGAAAGGGAAAGACTGCTCAGACAAGGGAAAAATTTGGGAGAAAAAACCTGAAAGACCATTTTAAAGTACAAAAGAGGCAAACCAGAAGCTCCACCTCCTCATTTGTGCACACACCACCTGCTACAGAACAGAAAATAGGCAGGGTATTTGCAGTGTTTGCTCCTGGACATGTTTTTAATGGAGACTCAAACTACCAGAAAACCTGATACATTATCTCACTCTGGTGGATCTACCTGTCACTGCAATTCTTTAAATCAACAGGATGTAAGGAGCACTGCTCCCCTTCCAAGATGCGTGGTACATGGCAGTCTGTTGGTGGGGCTATGCTTTCGGAAGTGCTCTCCAGCAGCTGAGAGGTATTGGGATGGTGTGAGAGGGCTCAGGGGGAACCACAGCTTACTGGACAAAGCAGCAATTACACTCGTACTCTTCCACCCTTATCCATTTTTAAACAGATATCTCTTCTCTGACCTCACCCTGCAACCTCAAGGTGAATTGTTTTTGAGAGATTTGCCTTCCTGGACCCTGATCTACCTGGATGAAATCCAGTTCTGCCTCCAAACACTAAGGTGGTTTTTTTTTTTTTTTTTGATCCACCACCACCTTGCAGGCCACCAAACAGCTGATACCCGTGCAAACAGGTGCCAGACGAGCAATCCAGCACCAAAAGTTCTGCACTCGGCTGCCACAAGGCTAGATGTGGACGACGAGGAGGCCTGTTGCCCGGTGTGTTCACCGAACAGCTTGTCATGAGCCCTCTCTAAACATCCCCATTTTGTACCTACAACACCAAACCGCTCATTTTTCTTTGATTTTATGCGTATCAGGGACTGGAAAAGGAAGAAGTTGGCAGCAACAGAGAAGCATTCTACAGACCTGTGAAAACCCTCTGCGAGACGGACTCGGCAGAGGCCCCCAGGGGGACGCCCGCCTGCCTGCTCGCCGCTCCGCAGCCGCCGCGCAGGGCAGTCGCCGATCCCGCTGCACGGAGAGCGCCCTGCCGGACCTCCCCCGCCGCCGAACGCCCCGCCGGGATCGCTTCTCTTCTCCGCCCCGCACCGTGTTGTAGAACTCGGCGATGGCGGGCACGATGGTATAGTTGTCCTCGCACCAGTCCACCTCCGAACTTCCCGCCCACAGCTGCTCCCACCACACCAGCACGCCCGTGGCGCCCGCCCGCCCGCCTCTCCAGCCCGGCCGCGGCGGCGCCCCCAGGCGGTCGCCCCGCCCTCCCGCCTCGCCTCGGCCCTGTGTGAGGCGCAGGGCGGCCTCCCCAGGCCCGGCAGGGCTCGGCGCGGCCCGCCCGGCGCCTGTACGGCAGCCGATGGCGACGGCCGGGTTTCTACACAACCGGGGCTGTCAGCCGGGGGGACCGCTGCAAGCCAGGTGGACTGAAGCTCTTCATCCCTGCTCCCGCGACGGCTTTGAGCAGCCGGCTCCCGCACACAGGTGACCCACCGAGCTGCCCGCCTCCCTCCCTCTTAAAAATGCGCCTTAGGAGTAGCTGCTCAGACTGTTTAATGGGAACGCGCGGCAGCTTACCGCATTCCCCTGTAGGGAAGGCGACACAGGCGGGGGAGCGCCGCCCCCGCGCTTGAGCGTTGAAGACGTCTTCCTGCAGGCGGTCAGCGGTTGGGCCGGCGGAGGCAGGCAGGCGAGGGCATTTCACGCCCCGCGAGACGCGAGAGGCTGGCGCAGAGGGTAGTCCCGCTTCGCCGAGTACCGAGAGCTTTCCCCCCACCGGAGACGGGGCTCTACCTACCGGCCCGCCCCGCCCCGCCTGCGGCCCGGGAAGCACGTGCGGGGCGGGTGCCGCTCAGGCTGCGCCGAGGGCCCGCCCGCCCGCGGGGAGCCAGAGCGAGCGCCGCCGGTTTTCTGCTTGTTCGTACGGTCAGCGCCCGGACGGACACACCAGCCCCGTTTCCGTGACTCTACTGTCACTTAAACGAAAGGTCCCTTTCGTACCGCCAGCGAAATTGGACGGAACCGTTTTCCTGCCATAGGCCGCACCCGGGCCTGACCCCCGGCTCGTGGAGCGAGGAGGGTACCTGGGGGCGGCTCCCGGCTGCTGCGAGGGCCGGAGTCGACGCACCGGAGAGCTCTGCCCGGGCCGCCGCCCACATCAGCAGCGGGCGGGGTGGAGCCGAGCCGAGCCCTGCCCTGCCCTGCCCTGCCCTGCCCTTCCCCCCCATTCCGTTCCCTCCCCCGCGGCCGGGGGAGTCTCACTTGTCATTGGGCAGCCCTTATCACGCGGGGCACGGGAGATGCCGCTATCGCGAGATTTGGCGGAGGTATGAGTGGGCTGCGGGCGGAAGTACGGCCCTTTCTTGCGGCGGAGCGGCTCTGCGAGGATGAAGGTGGGGCGGTGTGGGGCCGCGCTCGTGCTTGGGTCGTTTCCCCCCCCCCGCCGCCCTAGATGGCTTCAGTGCTGCCTGCGGGCCAGCTGGCAGGGGACGATGGCCCCTGGTAGCGGGGATGGAGCGCCCCTGGGGGGCGGATGAGCGCGGATTGTCGCCTGGGTGATATGGCGGCCGCGTGGGCCTCAGTTCCACAGTAGGGTTTCTTTTGCCGCTGGACCGTCGAACTCAAGGTTCTGGTAGCCCAGCAGGGGTCGTTTCTGCGCTTGGAAGGGGTAGGAGTGTGAGGCCTGCACTGTCAGTGGTAGGTCCTAGCAGAGAGACACTGTGTGCTGGAGGTGGGCCTGTGCGGATATCAGGCCGTGCTCGAGGGGGAGGTGCTGGGAGGCGTTCCCGGGGCGCTGGGCTTTCCACCGGCTACCGAGAAGCACAGGTAATCGACAACGGCAGGTGTAGCTCCACTCAGGTTGCTTATGCATTTATTAATACGACATATGCTGCGAAGGGCTTGCAGAAGAAGAGAGAACAGGTTTCTGTTGCACTCGACTTGTCCGATTGTAGTCTGTTTGAAGGGGATCAAGCGCCAGCTAATAGCAGAAGCAGTGTTCTGTGTAGCTGAATGAATAATACAGCCTAGTGTGGCCAAGGACAGGCCTGCCTGGTGCTCAGCACAGTAATGGCAAGTTATGGCTAATAAGCATTCATGTAAGCAGGTGGTGAATTGCAGCTTTGAAATGCTAAGATGAAACAGAGATAAATGGTAGTTCTCTGTTAAAGTATCTCATGAGAAGTTTCAACCAAATCTAATGTTTTCCTTTTGTTCTAATTCTGGTAGCTGAACATCTCTTTCCCAGCCACTGGCTGCCAGAAACTCATTGAAGTGGATGATGAGCGCAAGCTGAGAACATTCTATGAGAAACGGATGGCCACAGAGGTTGCGGCTGATTCTCTTGGTGAGGAGTGGAAGGTAAGGAGTGTAGAAGTATGTCAGAGCTGTATTTAAGGAGCTTAAATTACAAAATTTTTCCTGTATCCAGTTGCTGCAATGCATTGCTTGTATGATGTACATTTGACGTGTATGTTGAAAGTTTCTTTTGCTGTATATACTGAATTCGGTTATTGGGTTAGCCTGTTCTGCTACTTGGATTTATCTCAGTGCCTTTTTTTTTGTTTTTTTTTTGAAGTCTAGTGTTTAGAATTTCTTGTTGGTCTTTGCAGTAGTTTTTTGTTCTTCGTTTGAATGCTGTCTTGGTATTTAGCACAAATGAAATCTGTACCGTAAAACTGCTGATCCCTTCATTACCTAAAAAGCTCAAAATTGTCTGTCCTGTCTTTAAGCTGCTGCTATTGCATAGGAAAAAAGCATGCTGGGCATGGTAAACTGGCTTGAAATAGTTGAGTGTTAATGCAGACAGTCCAGACGAATTTTAGTAAGTCAATCTCTTCTGTTGCCACCTCCCCAAGGAAGGAAATAAAAGCTTTACTGTTCTCTTTCTTTTTACCCACATATCCCTTCTCAAGTCATTCTGGTGTTGTACGCAGGTTCCAGTTTGTGACGATAACAGGCTTTGGTCAGGTTTAGGATTAAGGAAGAGCTAGATTATAATGGACAAAATTCAGTCTGGTGTAGTTAAAAACTTTTAAATGGATAGTAATTTAATTTTTCAGCATATATATTTGAAGGTAACTAGAATAAGTGTAAATTCTGGTATGCAGAGGTATTTTTCACATCTGTTAAGTAAAATTCACAAACCATGGGAGTGGCATTGGTCAAAGAATTTGCTTGCATTGGCAGTAACAGCAACTTTTGCTGCGTCATGGGTGCAGTACCCATTATTTTGAATAGTATGTTGTGATACCACTTTTCCTTGAAGTAATAGAGGCAGGGAGGCAACTAAAAGGTGTATTTCTATGTTTTGGTAGGGCTATGTTGTCCGGATTAGTGGTGGCAATGACAAACAAGGTTTCCCCATGAAGCAAGGTGTCCTGACTCATGGACGTGTCCGCCTTCTGCTCAGCAAGGGCCACTCCTGCTATCGCCCCAGAAGAACTGGAGAGAGAAAACGCAAATCTGTTCGTGGTTGCATTGTTGATGCCAACTTGAGTGTTCTGAACTTGGTCATAGTGAAAAAGGGTAAGAGCTTGAATGAAGCAAGCAATAGGTCGAAGTAGGCACCTGGAAGGAGTCCGATTGCTAGTGGCTGAGAAGTTCTGTAGAATGCAAATGCAGTCCCAACTGTAGAGTGTGAATTTGTCTTGAAATTCCTTATGAGCATTAAATTCTTCTAATTTTAAAACTGTTCCCTGAAACACTGCTGCCAGCAATCTGATTGCATTATATTGTCAGGGAATAGCTCAAGGTGGTACTATTGGCAGGTGAAAGCCAAGGATTATCTAGTACTATTTTGAAATTTTATACATTTTAAACTTGAAACTCACTAAGGAAGCTGGTGTTCAGTAGGTGCAGGATTAATTGGCATGTTTAAACTTACATTCTCAAAGGTGAAAAGGATATTCCTGGGCTGACAGACACAACTGTGCCCCGTCGTCTTGGTCCCAAGAGGGCTAGCAGAATCCGCAAGCTGTTCAACCTGTCCAAGGAGGATGATGTTCGCCAGTATGTTGTGAGGAAGCCTCTGAACAAAGAGGGTAAGAACTCAAATTTTACACCTCTTTGCTGCGAATTACATGAAACCAAAGAGGTGTCCAGTGTACTGCAGTGAATGAAGCACGCTATAGTAGTAGATCCAGGAGTTGGCTGTCATAGTATTTAAGCTTTGTCGGCTGTAACTTACGGATGAGACATAGAGATTCTTGGTTGCCCCATTTGTTTTACCCCTCTCTTCCCTTTCTGTCTACTTTGGCACAATTTGTTTTTACATGCTTCATAGTTGTCTGGACTAGTATTTGCTAGTGGTTCTGAGAATAATCCAAAAATGTTAATAAAAGAAGATTATACATGAGGTGGAATGTTTTTGAAATGTTTTTATGATGTAGAGATAAAAAAGCAGTATGTAGAGAAGATGCTAAGATTTTTTCCTGTTGCTTATGGCAGTCTCTGAGATGAGCTTTTATTGGAAGGGCACTGTTTTGCTCACCACCTAAGATTTTCATGCTGGGTTCTTTCACATTTGATCAGGGAACAGAAAAGGTGAGGATTGTTAGCAGAAAGGACATGATAAAGCTTAGGCACAGTGAACGAGGTGAAAGACCGCTACTTTTGCATCATATGAACTATTCTATCATAGGAGTAGAATGTGATCCTGGTGGACATCAGACTGTTGCTTGTGACTACTGAAGTTGGATGGGATTGAGTAGTGAAATTTTACAGATTCATGTAGTTACGTGTTTTGTTTGCTCGTGATAGGCCATGTAGATCTATTTAAGACAGGCCTGATGAGAAGCTAGGAATTTTTACAAGAATGCAGGGAGTTAGATGCATTATTTCACACTGCATGGCTGATAACAAATCATAAGCATTAAGACTGTCTTGTTAATGCTACATCTGACAGTAATTGATAATTTTTCCTGCAAAATCATGTAAAGAGGTTGAACTCTATAGAAGTTGCTGTAATATGTAGTACACTAATGATACCATAACAGTAAATGGAACTTGCTCTTAAGTTTGTTGGATGAGGCCTCTTTGGAAGATAATCTGCCACTTCTGATTTGTAATGCTTCTTTAGGCAAGAAACCCAGAACCAAGGCTCCTAAGATCCAGCGACTGGTGACTCCTCGAGTTCTGCAACATAAACGCAGACGTATTGCTCTGAAGAAGCAGCGCACTCAAAAGAATAAGGAGGAGGCAGCAGAATATGCAAAGCTCTTAGCCAAGAGAATGAAGGTTTGTTTGCTCTTACAACTCATCTATATGGAATACCTCATACCCCAGAATCAGGGGATTTGATAAACTGGACTATATGCATAGAGCTTCTCTGTACCTATCTCATTTTTCATAGGAATGCCTGAATTCAGGTATAAACATTGCTGGTCAAATGCTTTTGTGAGCATTTCTATCATTTTTTTGCCAGTCCTAGAATAGTAGAAATTAACCAGATCAATTAATTTAACTGAGTTGATTTTGAAGAAAACAACAGTTATGACCTATGAAGATAAGTTTTGCAGTAGCAATTTTAGTTCAAATGAGTTCTAGTTTTAACTCGGATGGGCAGGCATTTTGAGTGATTGCATGGAGAAACAGGATCCAGCAGTTGATCTGGATGGAAGATAACTTGGCAAAAATCTGTTTGGATGCTTTCTCTTGCACCTGAAACAGCAGTGACTGCTGAAGCAGTATTGTTAGAATACTTGGCACAGTACTTGAATGTTTCATGATTTCCAGATGGAAACTGAAGAGTAGATCAACCTGTAGGATGTTGAAAAGTCTGCATTAGTATTTTTACTGTAATCTTGGACACTGGCCCATATTGTTTAAAGACATCAGTCTGCACAGGTTTAGATATTTGTAGAATTCTTGTGATCTGTGAAGAAGGGAAACTTTTTTATTTATTGTCTTAAGGAATCAGTTTTTTCTAGCACTTTCTTCAAGCTCCATTCTCCCTAGTTTCTTCCTTTGTAGGTGTTTTGAAGTGCATGATTATGTGTGACATCTTGGTACTCATTTCACACTGCTTTGCTTTTCAGGAAGCCAAGGAAAAGCGCCAGGAGCAGATTGCAAAGAGGCGCCGGCTTTCTTCATTGAGAGCTTCTACATCTAAGTCAGAGTCAAGTCAGAAGTAAAGACAGATGTCATACAAAAAAT